AATTGAAAGCTGCCTACATAAAGCACCGTCTCCCGGACAATACAAGCGAAGTTGAGTTGTACACGCCCTGGCTGTTTTACTTATGCTTGCATGGCATGTGGACGTGCGGACGCTTGCGGACACTATTCGTAATGTACACACACGTGCTTTTGTCGGTGAATACACTGAGGGCGGACACGCGGACACACGCGGACAATACACGTACCGTACACATCGGTTCCTTTTAGGGCGTTTGGCGAGCGTGCGCGGACATGCGGACACACGCGGTCATTACGCGTACCGTACACATGTGTTTCGTTTACCGTGTTTGGGCCAGCGTGCGCGGACATGCGGACACACGCGGACGTTACGCCTAATGTACCATGGTGTCCGTGTTACGGTGAAAAGCCGTGCGCGCGGACATGCGGACTCACGCGGACAGTACGTGTAAGGCACACACGCATACGTTTGACGGCAATTGTGTGGCCCGCGGACATGCGGACACATGCGGACATTAGCCCTTTAGGTTCCCATCGAGCAATACAAGGGGAAGTTCCCCCCCCCTCCGGACCTTCGGGTGGACGTTAGGGGCCCTCAACATAGCCCATCTTAGCTGCCTCTTACATAGTGTTATGATAGAGGTATGTTATGGCTACTTGATGTTGTTATCATTAGTGTTATCATCATTCATCTTCACGTCGTCTCAAGCCTTTCCAAGCAAACATTCAAGTTTTACTGGCTCTGCAAAGCCTCTCTGAGGCCGCGCGACTCCCCCCCGGCCATGTCACAGGACGCCTTGGACGACCTTCGAGATTTATCAGCCGCTGCTGCTGCCGCTGGCAGCGAGGACGAACCTGAACCCGCTGACGCAGGCGATATGGGGGCGAGGGGGGGAGGCGGAGGAGGGGGAGCGGGAGAGAATGGGAGGGATGGAGGGGGAGTGGGAGGGGAGAGGGAGTGGGGGGAAAAGGGGAGGGGATTGGGAGGGGGATGAGCGTCAGGCTCTGACAGCGACGTGCCCACGACGCTCGGCCCCGGCATCGACGACGTGAGCGACGATTCGACCACCCTGGACTGGCCCGAAAGGTCTGCACCTGGGAAAATGACCCCCAAACCCGTGCGTGAGGACGGCAAGTAGGCTGCAATAGGCCCTGGAACGTCCACACTGGGGGTGTAGGGGGTCTTTGGGGCAGGTATTCTGCAGTAGTCGAACGGGTAATCGGACAATGGTTTCAAAGGTGTCTGGGTGATCTCCTCTGGCTCCTCCTGGCGCCTCCCGGTCTTGAAATCCCGATCGGGACCCCGCCAGAAATCCACCCACCCGCCCCCAATCCTCATGACTGAGGTGCTCCTGGAGTTCCGACGTTTTGCTTCGGCAACCCCGCAAATTGGACTGCCCTGCAAACGTCTTGACTTTGAGATTTCTGGGTAGTTCTGGGCCCCAAGGGGCCGAGTGTCTACTCAGTCCAGCTCGAGGTCTGGCCGTGACAGAGGACGACCTCGAGGCCCCATAGCATCCCTCTTCTAAGCCCATGTCATCAGACTGAGACCCTTCCCATCACCCGCGTGCTCCACCTTGGACTCCTCCTCCTCCTCCTCCTCCTCCTCATTGTTTGCGAACTGCTCCCAGGATCAAGATCGACATGTCGGAGCGGAAGCCATTCGAGCGTTGGCAGGATTGGCCTGAGTATGTGAGGGCCTCATTGTCGAAGCAATGGTGGGCCACATTCGGAGGTACAGACCACCTGCAGCAGGTGGTCATCGAGACGGGGTGCAGCGGGACAGATGCGCCTGTCAAGGCCCTCCAGCAACTACTGCCTGGGAAGATCGATCATGTGACGAGCATTGACTGCGACAGCGACTCGGAGAATTTCATCATGACCAACATGGCCCCGACCCACTTCTTCAGGGACATCGACGCGCTGCCGAGCCCGACGCGACATCTGTGTACGATTCACAGACGCTTCTGCTGCATAGAGGCCAGCGCTGACGTCGACATCGGCATCTACGGCTTTCCCTGCAAGCCGTTCGCGATGCAGAATCAGGAGAACTACAACCGGTTGGCAAGTCAAAAACTCCTCGACCCTAAAGCACGGCCTCTGTTCGCACTCGCCGAGTATTTCAGGGAGCGCCAGTCGGTCAAAGTGATCATTCTCGAGAATGTCGATGGCATCCGACATCGCGTCAAGGCTACCGGAACAGAGACGATGCAGAACAACAAGCGGCAGAAAGTATCGTCACCCTTGGACGCGGTGATGTACGGCAAGATCATGAGGAGTGACGGCACGTTCTACGAGTTCGGGCTGACCTACATACCTAACTACAAATGGCAGGTGGTGACGTCCAGGGCGGACTATTTTGGACTGCCCCACGTTCGCAAGCGCGTCTACATTATTGGCATCAGGAGCGATATCGGAGGCCAAGCCGAGCTGACAACCATCGCAGATAAGCTTGCGACCATGAGCAGCATCAAGCCCAGCGACTTTTCGAACATCTTGCTTCCCGATGGCGAGGCGAAGAAATTCCAGGACATGGGCCTGGGTGGCAGACGCGGCAGGGGAATGAGCGATAAGACGAGGCTGAAGTTCGACGAGTTCAGACGAGAGATGCGCATGCCTGCTCGAGATGCGCGAGGCGGTCGAGCTTACTCGAGTAAGCTATCTTACGACGTGAAGCAGATCCTCGGAAGCCGCAAGATGGAGTTGCTCGACATCGCAGCGACCTACACCGGCGCCGTGCATGGAGACGTCAGCGAGCACGCCGTGACTGACCTCTCTCAGAGTGCTAGCAGGTGCATGTATTATCTGAATGGCAAAGTGGGTACGCCGACAACTTCTCAGGAGTTGTTCCACATGGGCCGCCAGAGGTATGTCGTGGCCCCCGAGGTCTTCCAGATGCAGGGCTGGGACCTCAACATGGGCTTAAAGTTCGACGGCCTCAACTTCCCCAGGTGGCGGCACCTCACAGGGAACATGATGTGCTTGCCGTGCGTGGGTGCAGTGGCAGCGCGCATCCTGGACACAGTCAGCCTTGGAGAAGGCAAGAACTACAGCGTTGACCCCGACTCCGCTGGCACTGGCAGCTCTACTACACCAAGCAGCAGCTCTGGCGGCAGCGGCAGCACTGCTCCCAGCAGCTCTGCTGCGAGCTCCTCGGCTCGCAGTGGTGCTGGCGGCACGGCGGTCCCCGGCGCTAATCTGTCCAGCGAGGCCATCAATCTCAGGGAGACCGAGGCGATCATAGACGAGGACCTGGAGCGCGCCGAGGCTGAGATGAAGACCTCGGCCCGGGCGTGAGAAAACAGCTGGTTAGCAGCTGGTTGATATATAATGTTGGCCTGGCCTGGCCCTCCTCCTCCTCCTCCTCTTCTCCTCATCATCCTCCTCATCCTCATCCTCCTCGCTCAATCCTCCTTTTCGTTCGCCTCCTCCTCTTCCTTCTCCTCCTCCTCCTCTTCCTCCTCATCCTCATCCCTCTCCTCCCCCTCCTCCTCCTCCTCCTCCTCCTCCTCCTCCTCCTCATCCTCCTCCTCCCCCTCCCCCATCCTCCCCTTCGCCGTGGGCGCCAGCAGTAGACACTCGACGCTTCGCAAGATGGCGGTGCGCCCTCTGGGGAAAGAGCCACCGATCTGCTCCTGACTCCTGCTCTTGTTCCTCCTCCTCGTCCTCCTCCCCCGCTTCCTCCACCACCCCCTCCTGCTCTTCCTCCTCCTACTCCTCCATGGGCTTTCTAATTCCTTCTCCATCCCTTCTCCTCTCCTCCTTCCTCACCCTCGACCCTCAATCCTACCCTCCTCCTCTTCGATCAACCCCGAAATGGCTTGGTCGTGCTCATTCTTTTCTCATCGTCCTTGAACCTGCTGCCTGCCGCCGAATTCCTCCTCTCCCCCTCCGCCTCCTACTTCGTGAACATCTTCAATGCGCAGGCCTGGCGCGTTTTGCCCGCGCCCAGCCTCTGCCGGCATCCCCCAACTCTCCCCCCCTTATTTCGTGGACACCTTCAATGCGCAGGCCGCCCCGCAACCGCCCTTGCCATCCTGGCCTCCAATCCGAGGGGGGCAAGTCCTCACCATCAGAGGAGGACGAGCAGGGAGGAGGAGGAGGAGGAGGAGGAGGGGACAGGAAGTCGTTCGGCTGGTCGTCGTCCTCCTCCTCCTCCTCCTCCGCCTCCTCCTACTGGTCCTCCTCCTCCTACTGGTCCTCCTCATCCTCCTCCGCCTAATTCACTCCCTCGTGCTCCTCCTTGGTCTCCATCTCTCTTCCCCTTCTTCTTGTCCTCCTCGTCCTCCTTCGTTCCATGGCACGCTGCCTGTAGCCCAAGGGGGATTAGTATGCAAAGGCCGCACTTTCGTTGGCAGGCCACCTGTTTTCTGGCGAGCCGTCCTCGCGCTCGCTCGGTCGCAGATGTATCGCACGGTGGAGTTGTATCGCAGACCCTCCGATGCTCGCTCGGTCGCAGTTGCATCGCACGGTGGAGAGGAAGCGACGACGGCGGCGACGGCGGCGGCGGCGACGACGACGGACGACGACGACGACGACGACGGTCAGCGACGACGGCGACGACGACGTCAAGATGGTGAGGGAATTTCTGCCCCCGCGGGGGTGGGCAGAAATTCCCTCAGAAGACGACGACGACGCAGACGCTGGCCCTTGGAGCATCTGCCCCCCTGACCCAAAGCTGTTACGGACAGGTCGAATGATCCTCGTATCGCGCTCAGTATCTACATACCTCTTCGGCTCCAAGAAGGCCTCGGACCATGCCACATGCTGGGCCTCGGGGTCTCAAGAGGGCCGTAGAACTCAGGATCTCAAGAGGGCCCCAGACCAAAAGATGGGGCTCCCTGCCCTCCCTTCCCCTTCCCTCCCTCATTATCCCCCTGTCCCTCTGTCACTCCGATGCTGATTCAGGCTCTTGCTCGCCCGGGGCGAGAGGCATTGTTTTTCTGATCTGTTTACTCGACGTCTTGTCTTCTTTTGAAGACTACTACTCCTGCTGCTCCACACAGCTGTGCTGCGCCAACCATGGCTGAGGACATGGAACTTCTCGGCTTGGGCGGCGGCGATAGCGATAGCGAGAACGGCGGGCCGCCAGCAGGCGGCGAGGGTGCTGCTCAAGCGGATGGCAGCAGCAACGAGAGCGACTACTCGATAGACGAACACGACTGCCTCGGGTGCGACGTGACTTCTAGGAAGATGTGCCCAATCTCGGTCCTTCGCCAAGCCCCGAAGCTCGTGAAGTAGGCCCGGTACCGCAAGAAGCCGTTCCATAACAAGAAGACTGGAGTCATCAGGAAGAGGAAAGCCCCCTCGGGCAGGTGGTGCGGGAACTGCTTCAACTTCTGGAGGTCCAATTTCAAGAAGGAGGTGCCGAACCTCGAGGACTTCGAGGACATCACGCGCGAGAAACCCCACTTGAAGGCCAAGTGGAAGAAGATGAATGGCAACTACATCAGGGCAAAGGGAGGCGGGAAGTCAAGGGTTCGGAATGGAAAGCCTAAGCGGGTGAGTAAGAGGACCTCGGTGAGAGATCAGCTCGTCGACGGTGGCGTATACTTCTATACACCATCCGCGTACAAAAGAAAATTCGGATGCCCCAAAGAGAACAAAGCTAAGCCGCACACGGTCAAGAAGAAGGACGGCACCTTGCTACATGGGTATGCCGTGAGGCACGGCGAGGAAGGAGTGTTCCAGTTGAACAGCATCGTGGAGAACGAGACCGTGCTGGAGGAGAGCTTGCTCAACCAGGAGGAGCAGCTCCACGAGGAGCACGCGGAGGAAGTCTTCGCTGATGCTCAGGCAACTGGGACTGTTCGGAATCTCTGACCATCTATTCGCATTCATGGTTCAGAGGGCTGCCTCTTGTGGCTTCCCGCATGCGAGGCGCTAGGCCTCGTGCGTGGGCTAACTGATTCTGGGGTCCTGGCTCGGTCCAATAGCAGGCCGTTTCCGAAGGGTCCTGGGGTGGGAAGCGTAGGCCAGCCAGAGCTGAACCAACTGGTTGTGATAAAGGTCAGAGACATGTCGGACAATCCCCAGGAAGCGGCGGCGGCATCCGGCCCTACCGTCCAGCTTGAGAAGGACGTGATCGAGATGGGTCGCCTGGCGGATCTGCGGAAGCGGGCCGCTGACCAGTCGGCGGCCCTCGAGCAGTCGCAAGCTTCGAGCGAGTCGGACGATGGCAAAGATGACAAGGACGGGGAGGAGTCCGAGGATGGCAGCGTCTCGGCGTCCAACTCGGACTCGGATGCTTGTTCTGGCGCCCGGCCGCTGGTCAAGAACCCTGGCACCAAGAAGGCGGCCGCTGCTCAACCGCCTGCGAAGAAATCCAAGACTTCGGCTGTGACTGCTTCGACGGCGGCGTCTACGCCAAAGACCAGCCGCAAGAGCGTTGGTGGCAGTAGCGCTGCGGGCAGCGTTCGCTCTGGCTCTGCGCCGCCGAAGGACGACAAGATTGCTGCCCACGCGAAGGAGCTCCTCCATCCCTTGGAGGTTGCTTACGTGGACTTCATTGCAGGCAAGTGGGCGGCCTACAATCCCCGACCGCTGTCGCAGATGCTGAAGGACATCGTCGTGGCCATCAACGCGGCCAACCGGTTCCTCAAGGCGAAGGGCTCGAAACAAGTCGGGGCAGACGCAGAGATCGAGAAGCTGCAGAAGCACGTGGAGGCGATGACGGCCATCAGCGGCTTCAAAAAGTATTGGACCAAATTCCAGGGCCTCGATGCCACGACGGCTTACCAGCAGCAAGACGCGGTCAAGGCGAAGCTGATCGCAGGGGCGGCCATGCCACCCTACATCGCGAAGATCGTGATCGACAAGAAGGTGAAGGAAACCGAGGACCTGGAGGGGCAGCTGGGACTGATCGAGGACACGAATACCGTTGGCGGCATCGGCATGCTCCCGGCAGAGGAGCAGGCAGGGCATGCGCGGGCGCTTTTGCTGAAGGTCCTGTAACCCAAGGGGTTAAATAAAACAGCATGCAGCATGCATGTAAAATCACACTAGCTCAAGAGATGATGAGGAGTTGATTTTGAGGCAGGACTGGGAGGAGGAAAGGAGTGAGGGGTGGACGAGGGGAATAGCGTGGACGAGCGCTGAGGAGGAGGAGCAGGAGCAGGAGGAGGAAGGCTGGAGGATCGAGGAGGAGGAAGGCGGAGGAAGCGGAGGGGAGGGGCAGGAGGAGGATCGAGGATCGAGTTTTTGTTTTGGACGTGTGTTTTTGTTGTCTTTTCTTGGCTTCTTGGGGGGCCTTCTTGGGCCTCCAGCCAGATGCCTCTGGGGACCTCCGCGGACCATGGGGGCAAAATCGGAAGCTCGGCAGGACGAGGGATGAGTTCGGCGTTCAGAATCCCGAAGGTGATGAGCAGCTTCCTGGACTCCATGAAGACCATCAACGATTACGACGAGGGCGAGGCGAAGTTCAAGGGCCTGGTCACGGCAGTGCTGAACCGGACTTCCTTACCGAAACCAGCTGTGGACGACATGAAGGCCATCAACGTGTACTTCATTTGGAAGGACAAGGCTGTGGACTCGTCGAACGTCGCGCCCATGAAGTCCGGAGTGCAGGCAGCCGTCGCCCGCCTGACGCAAAAGAAAGACTCCTCTTGCTACTTGGCCCTGCTCAAGCGCAAGAAGCCTGCGCCCTACGAGATGGCCGTGAAGGGCCTGACCGACATGATGAAAACAGTGCAGCAGATGGAGCAGAAATCGCAGGCAACGGCGGGCATCCTGAAAGCTATCAACAAAGCGACGAGCACGTTGCCTTCGATTGATCAGAAATCCATAGAGCAGCATATCGAGAAGTTCATTGCTTGTGTCAGCGAGTGCAAGAAGGTCAACTGGAAGGAGACGAACAGCGACGAGGTGGCAGAGGCAATGGTAACTTTCATGGATCGTATCGCAGCTTCTATCATGTTCCAGGCCTCATGGCTTCGAAAGTGTTTTGGGGGGTAGCTTAATAGTAAGATGTGATTTTTGCCTGCCTTGATCCTGCCCCAGAGGCCCCCGGATCCCCGCCCTTGGCCCCTTGTTCCCAGGAGGAGCTGCTCGACCTGAAATGGGGCGTAGATTCAAAAGGCATTAGAGAGACGCCTACGCTCAGGCCCAGGATCTTCGGAGTGATATTTCCAGGAACACTTCAGGCAACAGGCTTCAGGCTTCAGGTTGGAGACTTCAGGCAGGAGGGGCCAGGCCACAACGCAGGCCAATTAGTAGGCTACTAGGCTACTAAACATTGTCGCAGTGCCAGCCTTCCCAGAGGTGCCCAGCAACGTGGCCACCGCTGACGAGGATACGCAGATTGCCGTGGTCAAGTGGGTAGGGACACAGGCCCGCTTGCTGACAACCTACACTCAGATGCTGCACGGAAACATGCCCGAGGCGAAGCCCCTTGACGAGATCCCCGGCCGCAACCAGGCGCTGCAGAGCTGGTGCGGCTTGCTGGAGTACCTGAAGTGGTTCAATGTCGATGCTGTCCTAGGTGCAGACCTGCCAGTCGACAAGCTCAACATTGCCTTGAGCAAAATGTCGAACCATGATATCAAGGGCCTGGCTCAGGCCACCAATTCTATAGGCGTGCAGGGGAACGTACCATACCCGATCGACCTGCTGGACATCATCAAGTTGACGATCGAAGTCGACCGTGAAGCTCTGACATTCCTTACCACGATGAACGCGCTGGGGGAGTTTCACAAGATCCTGCCTGCGCCCCTCTGCAGCGTGATGAAGGCTCTGATCGACATCCAGTCCAACAATGACGGCGACGAGCAGGATCCAATTACGATCGAGGACCACGAGCTTTTGAATATCAGTTTGAACTTTGCAGGTCATGTGGATATTCCAGAGGAGCTGGTGACCCGCGTGACTGCCGATGATGTGCACACGGTGCTGGGGAAGCTGGACATGAAGGTTGGCGTCGCCATAGTTTTCAACGAGCTGAAGGATAAGTTCAGCCTGTCCGAGGGTGCCGAGGCGTCTATCCCGAGTGGCGACAAGAGCAAGCGCGTCCCGTTCCTGATGAAGCTGTTGCCGGCTCTTCGGGCCGTGATTGCCTTGGACGGCTACGACAAGGTTTCAGGGCTCAACGCGGTAGGTGAGGCCTTTCTGCTTTGCTGTCTGGGCCAGCAATGGGGAGGATCTGGGAACGCTTTCATTTTGAACCATTCTGGTTGGGCAGGGGGGTAGAGTCGGGCCCTGGGACCGCCGACTATGAAAACAACGAGGCCAAACTCTGGGCCAGGTTTTGGTGTGCGGCTGGCCTCGGTAGCAAAGCAGTTGCAGAGCCGAGCCTAGCGCAAGTGGGCCTGCAGGGCAACGACCAGAACAACCTCTTCAAAAACTACAACGAGAAGGAGCGCGACCTGACGGACCTGCAGGTCTGGATGGAGAGCGCGAGCTCGGATGTCCTGTCAGATGCTGTCCGCGCGAACTTGAGCAAGACCTTCAAAAGCTGGGATGATGCCAAGAGGACTAAGATGTACAACACGCTCGAAGCCATTGCGAATAAGATCGAGGCTGTAGGCAAGTCGATTGGACCGAATTTAATCGACACTAAATCCGCCATGAAGAATTTCGAGCCCGAGCAGATGCAGATCGTGAAAGAGATGCCCGGGCGGCAAAGTCTGATCAATGCTGTCAAGACGATGGGTGAGACCTTGACCACGTGGAGGCTGCTGGCCTCGCCCGTTGGAGGGAATTTCTCCGTGGGGGAGAAGTCTGTATCCAAGCTGGAGGAGAAGATCCAAGAGGCGATCGTCCAGAGGGGAAAGGCCAAGTCGACGATCGCAGTCCGCAGCGCGTTCTGCATCCTCCTTTCGAAGGATGCCGCCCTCGTCTCGAACTACATGGTGGAGATGAGGAACGCCAAGACGACCATACCCCAGAAGCTCAAGAAGCAGCTGGAGGCGCTCCAGCAGCAAGCTGGAGTGGAGCCCGCCCAGGACGACGCCGAGGCCGCCGAGGCTGAGGACCTGGAGGGGGGTGGTGGCGCGTCCCTGGCAGGGGACGATGCAGCAGAGCAGGACCTGCTGGGCTGAGCAGTGGGAGGAGGAGATCGTCGAAGCGAGCTCCTCACGAAAGAGGGCGGAGCGCCTCCTGGGCGGCCCAGGTGCGAGCGGCTGTGAGCAGCTGCTGCAGGGCCGAGGTGCTGGACAGCTCGTGATTACAAGCAGCACGATTCGGCTGCCGTGGAAAATAAAAGAAAATATCATACGTTTCCTCTTCCCTCCTTCTCTCCTCACTCATGCCTCCCCCTGCTCTTGTCTTGCCCTAGTTTCTCCTTCCTCTCATCTCTTTCACTCCTTTCTCCTCCCTGCTTTCTCATCCCCCTGCCTCCTGGACACCTCCCTCCCCCTCCTCCCTCTGCTTCCCCTCTTCTCCCTACTCCCGAGTCCCTGTTCCCTGCTCCCTATTTTCACCTCCTCCCTACACTGTCCCCCTCCTTTACCCCCGCTGATCCTGAGCCCCCTCTCCCTCGTCTCCCACTCTTGCCAAGCACCTCTTGCCTCTGTCTCCCTCTTCCGGTCCTCTCCTTTTCCTCCTTCCCCTTCCCCTCATCCTCCTCGTCGTCCTCCTCCCTCGGATCCCTTCCCCCTCCCTCCCTCCTCTGACTTCTGCCTTCGCTGCTCTTTCTTTCAGCCCAAAATCCAATATTCATTCCTTCCTCCTCCCTCCTCTTCCTCCCTCAATATTTCTCCCTCCTCCTCCTCCTCCTTCCTCCCTCAATATTTCTCCCTCCTCCTCCTCCTTCCTCCCTCCTCCTTCCTCCTCCCTCCTCCTCCCTCCTTTCTTCCTCCCTCTTCCTTTGTGATTATCACGAATTCTCTCCTCCACAATCTTTTTGAGGCGCGCATAATACCTTGCGGAAGTAGCATTGGTTTGCCTGCCTGTTGCCCCTCAAATGCCCTCCAAGTTCCTCGCGGTATCGGCCGTTTCAACATCCACAGTAAGGTAAGGGAGAAAGGCCACCTAAATTATGGACGGATTGCGATGGCTCGGCCAACGATGTAAGAGGGAGGGGCGATCGGAGTTGTTCCCCAAACGGAACAGTCAGCGCTTCCCTCACATACAGGAAACCAGGCCCCAGGGCCCCGAGTCCGCAGCACACCAGGGGCACTTGATACACGCTAACTTCGACGGCGAGCGAGGGGCAAAGTGAGAAGGAGAAGGCCTTCTCAGAAGGCTCGGAAGTCCCCTGGCCTTCTGAGAAGCTTTCTAAGCCTTCCCCGAAGACACAGAAAAATTATCAGAAGGCGCGAGGGCTTTGAGAAGTCCCGCAGCCTTCTGAGAAGGCCTTTTCCTTCTCGTTTCCCCCCCCCCCCTCGCTCGCCGCCGATAGCTCCCCCCTTCCCCCCCCCCGGGCCTGCCTCGGGCCTCCACGTTCCCTCCCCCCCCGGAACTTCTGGGCAGGGTCCCAATGAGTCCCAGACAAGCTTGCGTGTCTACCAGACGGCCCAAGAGCTCCCCCTCCCCCTCCCCCTCCCGGCCCCCCCTCCTCCTTTTGACGTTAGACCAACCTGAGCATGAGAGCTGTGGCGTTAGTGAAATCAGAAATCAGAACGGGCGGCGAGAACGACTCGGGTCAAAGTGCTTGGCGGGCGCCGGGAAAAATGTGAAAACAAGAGATTTGGAAAGTATAGGAAAGAGAGTAGGCGCCTGCCAGGTGGGACGACACTCGCTTAGGTAGAAACCCGCCTCCCAATAATTATATAAGAACGTTTAAATGAATGGTGAACGCCGTCGCGGGTCAGCAGTGAATGCAGACAGAGTGCAATTCTTGGGTTGCTACCCTTGTTCAATAAGACCGTCCCAACACCAATCCCGTAACCCAGCTCTACACCACGTAACCCAGCCCCCACCAGTCCATTTTCAGTGGGCAGCGGTCTGGCTGCTCTCTGTCCACATAGGATAGAATAAATGACAGCAAGACGGTATGAAGTTCTTCGGTTGCTACCCTTGGTGGGAGGGGTGGGGCAGGGACAGGTAGGTGATAAGTAAGTGGAGGAGCAGGCAAGGTGTGTGCAATTCTTGGGCTGCTACCCTGAGGCTGAAGTAGCTAAGTGTTGCTATAATGTAGCAGGCAAATAATTTGGCTTCAAAGTGCATGGCTGCCTGCAAAGTGTGAAATTCTAGGGCCGCTACCCTTAGGCACAAGAATGCTGCAGTGCCTTACAGTCGGCTGAGTCCCTCTAGCCAGCAGTAGGCCCGCTCTTCTTGCCAGCACTAGGCCCGCTCTTCGGTTCCTCGGTGGAGGGGACACCTTCTCCGTCTACTTGCCAGGGGTAGGGAAGAGTATGTTGATAAGACGGAGGTGTACGAAAAGTGGCGGCAAGTGTGAGTGCTGCCTGGGCGGGCCCGTGTAGGCTGGCCTGTGGGCTCTTAACTAGGCTCGTGAGATTGGGCGAGCCGATGCAACGATTTGCTGGATCATCCTTAGGTAAAAAATGCTGCTGCGTGCAGCTCTTGGGCTGCTACCCTGAGGCTGGAGCAGAAACGAGTACTGACTGCATCCCCCATCCTCTCCTGAGTATAGAAAGGGAGGTAAAGAGTGAGGGCCTGTGTGAGCAGTGCTGCAGCTTGTTGAGAGCAAGAATGTGGGCTGGCCTCTGTAGGCTGGCCTTTCAGCGCAGTGGCTATGGCTCGGCACGTATGTCATGATCCTCTTTATTGGGCTGCTATCCTGAGGTAAGACATGTAAAATGTGAGGGCCTAGGCAGCAATGCTGCAGCTTGATGGGCAAGAGTATAGGCTGGCCTCTGTAGGCTGACCTGTTAGTGCAATTGCTATGGCCTGGCAGGTCAGAAGAGGTGTGCAACATAGGAAGGGAATGTAATGATGCATAAAAGAGTGATCATCAGAGAAGAGGCCGAGTGAAGCAAGCAGCAACGACGGGCAAGACATGAGGGAGTAGAGTAAGGGCCGTGGGCAAACTAAGGAGAAGAGTACCGACACCCTATACATCCAGGGGAGCTGCAGGATACCGGTAGTCCTCAGCAGTCGGTAGGGTACGGCCCCTATGCGGGGAGGGGGTCCAAGCTAAGTGGTTTGGTAAGTCAGCCGACCTGTTCAAACAGGGGCAAGGTAGGAGAAGAACGTGGACGACGCGACGACAGCAGGAGTGGGGCTGGCCTTCGCAGGCTAGCCAGATAAACATGTACGATGTGTTACGTGGGCTTGGATTGTTGCCGTAAAGGTGTCGCGGCTGAAGATGCAGGATGTTGTGGAGCAGGCAAAGGTTGGTGCGCAAGTTTAACTTAAAGAGCTTTAGTGGCTACGCATCCGAGAAAAGTGGGGCCGCATCCTGCATTGCAGACCCCAAAGGTAAACTGAACAATGTAAGTCCGCCGTGCTGGTAAATCTCAGTGCATATATGCATCCGAGAGAAGTGGGGTCACGTCCTGGATTGGGGACCGCAGAGGTAAACCAGGCAAGGTTGGCCAGCCGAGTCGGCACATCAGTACTAGCTGCGCTGCTGGTTTGTGCAAAAGAAGGAGGGCTTCCTGTATGACAGGGGCCCAAGATCTGGACCTTAGCAATTCTTGGACTGCGACCCAGGGGTTTTTACGGTTTGCCCAAAACCGACGGTAAAGCCACGGGATCCCAAGCAGGCACCAGGCGCCTCAGAAGGGCAGAAGGGCATGAGAAGGGACGTCAGCAGCAATGAAGTCGTCGTCAGAGATCCGTAGCCATTTTGGCTCAAGCGTATCACATCCTACTCATCCAGTCCCTTGTTGGTGCTGCCAAGTCTTGCGAGCCCGTAGCGCCGACCACTTGCGGCGGCGCCCAGAACAGCCATGCGACAGGCCGGCCCGCTCCCGCTCCTGCCCCTTGCCTGCCTGTTCCGCGCGGGATCCGCGGCTCGGTCTTCGGAGGATCTTGGCGCACTCGAGGCGGACAGCGCAGTCGGCCTCGCCAGCGACGGCGAAGAGTGGCGCATCTGCAACCCATTCTCTTCGGAGGTGACGCGCAGGTACTACTTCCAGTCCGTGGAGGAGGACGGCGACCCCACGGCCATCGAGTTCGTGCGCGACAAGCGCTCTCCGGCGCTGATCTTCCACAAGCACAGCGAGTGGACCGCGAAGTATGAAAAGCACATCGAGACTAAGAGCGGCCCCAACGGCATCCCGACCATATCGAAGGAGTACCGGTCCACGTGGCTGCCGGCGAGTCCTCCGGGCTCCGAGAGGCCTGCAGAAAGGTCGACGCTGCTCCTGGGGGAGAGGTTTGTGGAGTACGTCCGGTGTGTTCCAGTGACCACCCCCGACGGGACGAAGTCGTGCATCTTGGAGGTCAAGGGCCAGGGCAAGAAGAGCGAGCTCCTCGGGGGCATGTACTTCCCAGACTTTCTGGCCAGGCAGGCTCTGCGGCACTTCAAGAACGGCAGGGCGGGCGAGGAGCTCCTGGCCCCAGACCCCGATTGCACCTCGGAGAGCTCCTCGGAGACCGACTGCCAGCTGCGCGTCGCCGCAACGGTGGAAGCTGCACTGGCGGACGAGAGCTTCGACTCCAGCGGCTGGAAGTTCAAGGACATTCGGAACGCTAAGATCGGTGCCATCATGGGTGGCGGGTTCATCATCGGCGGGGTCGTGGGGGGCCCCATCGGCGCGGTGGTGGGAGGGGGGCTCTCCTCCGCCGCGGTGGGCGTGACCTCGCTGTACAAGTACCTCATCCGGCAGAAGGACATGGACCTGAGCGCGAGCGAGAAGATCTTCGAGAAGCTCCGCTGCATGAGCATCTTCAAGACCTGCAGCGGAGACGTCCTCGTCCCGAAGAGCAGGTCGTGCCCGGAGCTCTGAACCTGCAGCCCCCCTGCACGGGAGAGAGGCGGGCAAGGCCCCGCGACGTGGGCCAACGCTGCGGGCACCCCGTCGGTCCTGGCAGCTGGAGGAGGAGGAGAGGAGGTGGTGGAGGAGGAGCTTGTCGATCGCACTCCCCGCCTGGGAATCTCACCCGGCCCCGGGTGTAGTCCCGCAGCTGTCCAGGGCCCAGCCCCTCCGCTCGGAGGGGGGCCGCCCACGCCACCGCGGGACAGGCTCATCAATCACCGAGCGCCGCCACTAAGTCATGAATCGTAACTCCCCCTTGGCGGATCCAGGCCATTTGCGAGTAGTTACTGTGCGAGTAGTGGAACGCGTTTGTCTAATCAAGGACGCCGAGGCGACGCCGCCTTTTTCCCTGCCGCGGCACTCTGACGGGCCACCGTGCGCCGGGCGTGGCACAACGCTGAGGCAACAAAAAAATGAAGTCATAGTCAAAGAGGCAGATTTGGAGTGTCGACCACGATACGTGCGTAGAGCTTTTTGGTCTGGGCTACATGCCAGAAAAAAAAGAGAGGTGAGGTCATTAGACGATGTTCTGCGGCTATCGGCGTACTGCAGGTGCTTGAGGTGAATCTCGTGGTAGGTTGTTTTTTCAGCTAGTATGTATTTAGTCTGCTCCGCGGCCGTTGTCTTCGTAGTTCTTCGGCTTGGGCGTGGCTGGTGCCTTGTGGAGTCGCACAGTCGGCTTCGGTGGAGGTTCTTTGCAGGGTACTTCTGGTAGGTAGTTGTTGTGGAGGTGTCGCAGATGCGTTCGCGTCGTGTCTGATGTGAGCTGAGCCTGTCGATGTAGCTGTAGAAGGTTGGGTCTCCTGCGTTGTGCACGAAGGTGATGTGGTGGTTGTAGATGAGGATGTGCTGGTCGCCTCGTCTCGCTGCCGTGTTGTGCACTGCGATCACATGGGCTGCGTGGGCTGGGAAGTAGGCTTGCAATGTGGCGTAGGTCTGGGGTGCCATGGTGTTTTGCGTGACCTCCTGTATCCAGCTCTGTGAAATGTTTCCTTCGGGTGGTGGGCATATGATCGGTGTCTGGAGTACAGGTCGTGGTGGGCGCGCTGGCATGGCTAATCTCATGGCAGGAGACCATTCGGAGATCGCTGTCGTGCGCGGGGTATGCGGTGTGCTTGGAGCCGGCGCGTCTTGAAGTGGTTGTTGGTGGTTGAGGTGGCATGTTGGTTGCGTAGATAGGGAGAGGTGGTGGTTTCTTCGCTGGTAGGGTGTTGGTGGTCGGGGTTGGTGACGTCAGGGCAGTGGGTCGGTTGGGCTGGTGTGTTGGTGTAGGGTCGAAGTTGACGCCTCGTTGTGGCATTGGTGTAGTTGCTTATGGTGCGTTGTAGTTTGCGTTGGGGAGTTGTGGTGTTTTCTTAACAAGTGGTTTTGGCTTGGTGGTTTGGGGTGTGGTTGGCACTGCTGGTCTGTCGGTAAGCTCACTTGTGTCGGTCTGAGCTACGGGCATGGTCCATTGTGGGGGCAATGCGGGTGCACGTTTCTTGGGCGGTGGGGTATGATTGTTTTGTGGGGATACAGTGGGTGTTGGTGGTCTGTGTTGATTGTCTTGCGTTTGCGCATGCTCCTCGCTGATGCTGCCACTGTCGGTTAGTGTCGTGAGCATATTGGTGCTAGTAGCGATGGTCGGGTTGCAGATCTGTTGAGGTAGCGTTGCGGCGTCAAGCATGTTGACCGCCCAGTCACGCTTCATGTGGTTATCGTCGCTGCGACAGGTGTTGGGCCATTGTGCCTCTTCTTGTATTGCCGCAAGCTTGTTCGGGGCTAGTGGTGCATATCCTTTTTGTTGTCAGACGTGTTTGGAAGTCTTGGTTTGTCGCTACTACTTGGAGTCGGATTGTTGCGCTGTTGCGGTAAAGGACCACGAATTCATGTGGGTCGTTGCCGCAACAAGGGAAAGCTCAGGTGCTTGGGTGGCGTTTGTTTGGTCTGCGTTTTCGAGTTTGATCCGTTTGGTGGCAGTTGTCGGTGGTAGAGTGAATGTCGATAGTGGCGTTGCTCGTGGGTCTGGTCGTAGAGGCGGATGTGGCAGGTTTTGAGCGCTGTCCTGGTGTGCGAACATCTCGTTGTTGTACTTGTTCAGGCATCTGTGCCGCCCAGGTAGAAGTAGGTCGTCGTTTGGAGACCTGTATAATTAGGTGTTGGACTGCTCGTGGTAGTAGACTGCGTAGTGTCATCTGTCGTCGTCGTAGCCGTCGGTGTCGGCGTCGTTGGCGTGGTAGCAGTATGCTGTCCATCCGCTTGGGCAGCGCATGTCGTGTATTGGTTTGGTCTGAGTGACGTTAAGTAGAACTCGCGTGTGCCTGAAGCTCCGTTCATCTTGGCCCATGGGTCGTTGTAGTCGATGCTTTCGGAGTCTGTTGTGACACAGAGTAGGTCAGATATGCCTGCCCGCAGATAGGTTTTGGGCTTGGAGGCTTGCTTGTTGCGTTGATGTTGGCTGTGCAGGTGGCGTGGGTGTTTTTGCAGATTGCGGCGGTGTGTAGTCGTAGCTGGCGTCGGGCCTTGCTTAGTTGTTAATTTGTTGGTTGCTCTTGTTTGAATGTGAGGTTGGGGATGAGTTGCTGTGGTGATTACATGTTTGTGTGACCCGGAGCAGTTGTGCCGATTTTTGTCCACGTGCTCGTAGTGTTCTTTTTCTGCGTCGCATTGTATAGCCAGCTGTTGTTGCACAAAGTCGCAGCGCGGATGGTCTGCAGTGATGTTGGCGGGGAGTTTGAAGCCGCCCTTCGCAACGATGTACTCGCGGTCGGGTATTTCAATGGTTGGTTGTGGTTGGATGTAAGTGGGGTTGCGCGTAATACGTGTGGTGCGGTCGTTGGGGTGTAGCACCTGAATTGGCGTTGGTACCAGGTGGTATAGTGTACGCGGCCACTGCGGGTTGTCCAGTGTTGGTGTTTTCAGCTCGTAGTGGATTGGTGGTGTTGGTCCTTAGTGCTGGTCTGGTTTGACTCGTGCTGTGCCAGTCCATTGGTGAAGTAGTTCGCACTCGTAGACCGTTGGCTCTTGTAGCTCCACGTAGTCAGGTTGCTGGTAGGACTGGTGGTGTGATGTGCCTTCTGTGCTTTTATGTAATGCAGGCGGCCCACGGTGGATGCAGGGTTGTGGGGCGTGGAGTGAGTCTGCTAGGTAGTTCGTAAGCGAGAATATCTCTGAGCCTAGAGTAAGGTTGTGGTTTTAATCGGTCATGGTGATGATGAATGTGGTTCGGTCGTAGTGTGGTTCGTCGTGCTTGAACTTGGTGCGGATGCCGTAGTCGTCGTCTACATGTAACTCGCACCTCTTGTCGCTTTGTTGGTATAAGATCTTGTATAGTGTCTGTTTGAGGCTCTTCTCCGAACCGCCATAGGTGTATTAAGCGTATCTCGAACGCACCATGTCGTTGTCGAAGTCGTTGCTGAGCTCGTCCCGTGTCAAGCGTATGCGTGGTACTCGTCGCGCGTGGGATGGAGGGTCTTCGTTATCATCGAATGGCCACCGGTCAGGTCGGTAGTCGGTTTTTCTGTAGAAGGGGATGTGGGTTGGTCTTTGTGTCCAGTGTGTCTCGACGTCGGTGCGAGAGCAGTAGTACTTCCATCCACCGAGGGCTTCCTGTAGTCGTTGGCGCTGTAAGGTGAAATATTGCTTATTGATGTCGGGTAAATACGCAATGGTGATGTGTGCTTCCCTCTTGGCTTTTGCCCAGCCTTTAGCGGTAGGTACTTGGATGCATTCAAAGCCAAAGTGGAAAGAGACATAGACGTAGCATTTGTCGATTATGCCGTCGGGAATCATGTCATGTCTGTCGACTTGCACCTGTGCTCGTAGTGTCTGTGCGGAGTTGGGGTCGTACTCTGTTGGTGTGGCCGTCCGTATTCGATATTCTTTTGGGGCTCTGCTGCGTGTCTTAAGTAGGGGTGGCAGCTCGTCGGTGCCGCCCCGCCTGCCGCGTACTGCTCATAACGTTGCCTGTAATGCTGTTCGATGAGTACCTTCCTTTCGTTGGTGCGGGTCGTCTGATTTCAATACAAATAAGCTGTGTGCGTGCCAAATGAAGATCGGTGAACCTCATCGCGGTGGCCCGTTGGTCGAAACCCTCCTCCTCCGAGAGGAAATTCAGGAGGACCCGAAGAGGCAGACATCGCCCCGGTTGAAAGACGCACGTTTCTGGCACACTCGCGGTTTTCGTGCGCAGCGCCCAAGACGGCCACAAAGGCCCCCAGGAGAGCCCCAAAACGGCCCGAGAGGTGCCCCGAACGGCCCAAGAGGTCCCCCAGAGGGCCCCAAGACGGTTGAAAAGGGCCCCAAGACGGCTCAAGAGGCACCCAGGACCGCCCAAGACGGCCCCAAGAGGCCCCCCACCTCTGAATGGGGAAGACATAGTCGAGGCCGCCGCCCCAAGAAGACCCCGAAGACCGCCAGCAGGCCCCTCAGAGAACCCCCCCGGGAGGACCCGAAATGCCCCGAAGAGGCCAGAGAGAGGCCCCAAGAGGCGTCAAAATTGCCTCCACGGTGCTGGCCAGAGGCTTCATCCCCAGAGACCCGAACAGGCGTTCAAGAGGTTTCACACCAACAGCCCAGGCACGGTGGCAGGGTGGGCAGAGATCCACCAAGAGAGGCACATGTGGACGAGGGGCACGGTGGCCCCTCAATCCTCGCATGTCGAGGTTCCCGGGAAACCGCCAGCAGGCCTTCAAGACCCCCCCCAAGAGGACCTTCAGCCCCAAGAGGCCCCCAAAAGGCCCCCAAGTGGTTCCAAAATTCCAAAATTGCCCAAGGAGGTTTCCCGAAAGACCCCAGCGGGTATCCAAGAGGCTTTGACCAACATCCCAGGCACGGTGGCAGAATGGGCCGCAGGACACTTGTAGTTGCACACGTGGACGAGGGGCAGCGTGGCCCCTCCTCTCTGTCATCCTTGTTGCTTTTCTTCTTCAGAGGTTCTGCTTCTCCTTCTGGTCCTCTCCCTCCTTGCCGTTCCGCACTCGTCTTTGTCGCCGTCATGTTCCTGGACTCTTCTGTTTCTCTCGACCTCCAAACCGTCCTCTTCGTCGTCCTCCTGGAGACCTCCGTGATCAGGGAAGGGCTGTGTATTCCGTGTTCTTGTAGCGTCTTCGGACTAAAGTCTTATCTACAAAAGTCGCCCGACCATCGACATCCCACTGCGAGCTGGGATTCCGGAGTTCCTGAGCGCGCGCGATGCCCGCGTTGGTTCTAGTGATGAGAACAGTCTAGACTAGAACATCGTGAAGCCGGCGCTTGCCTGCGGGGAGACGTTTTTTTTTCGTGTTCAGTCGTGGCCCTTGGTGATCAGCAATCAGCAGTTGTAGTGCACTGGCTGGACTGCCCACGCGCAGTCCAGGTGGTTCAGTTGTTCAGAGCCCTCGCCCGGTTCTACTGTCTGATGCTGTGTTGGCCTCGTCCTACAGGGCTGCCGCTGCTCCTTGCACGGGCCTTAGCCTGGTGTACTCTCGCAGCCAGAGGCCCCGTGCCCGGGAGCATCCCCGCGAGGAGCCGCCCACGGAGTGCCTGGTTGGTGCGGTCTGCGCCCAGGGACTAGGCGGGGAGTAGCCCCTCCCGTCGAAGCCTCGCGGTCATGGCGCCAACATCGCAGAGCGGATTTTGCTCGGAAAACACCTGGGTGGGCCCGGATTGTCCAGCAGAATGTCGTTCCGGATTTCGAAGTGAATTGTTGACGCTTCGCGTACCCCCACCAGCTCCGTTGCACTCGCTCTGCTGTCTGCTTCACTTCGGTGTGGCCGGCGCCTATGTGCGTTTGCCGTAATGCGGAGCATTTTGCTCAGTGCATGTGCACACCACGCCTCGCGTGTAATTTGCCGTGTTCCGTCGCCCCGGGCATCGCTGTTGCCGCCAGACCGTTGTCGTGCGGCCGCCGACCAAAAAAACGTATCCCCACCAGGTTTTGCGCGTGTTCGGACGGCGCGCGGTTGGATCGCGACGCTCGCGAAGAACAAGTATCCCCACCAGCCCGACCAGTGCCTCCGCTAGGTCCACCGCGTTTCTTGAGCCGCAGCGTGGCTCGCTCCTGTGCGTTCTTGTGTGGAATTTAGTCCGTTGCTCGTTAGCCGCGTTTCTTGACGGTGCCTGACATTCCTGCGCGCTCGCGAACGAAAAAGTATCCCCACCAGCCCGGCCAGAAACGATGCCCAGGAGAGTTGAAGTGATCAGGGAAATGGGGGAGCACGCAGAAGAACAAAGGGCGGGGGAAGCCGTCATAGACCCCAAGAGAGGGAGGATGGAGGAGGAAGCGTCGTCGCCGGAGGAAGAGGAGGAGAAAAATGAGGAGGAGGTGGAGTAGGGCGAGGACGAGGACGCGAAGAAGGAGAACGAGAGAGAGTTGAGTACCTCGGGGATCCTCCTGAGGCCTAGTATGGGGTCTCTTGGGATCCACTTGGAGGCCTCTTGGGGCCGTTTCGGACCCTGTTGGAGCACTCTAGGGAGCTTCAGGGGTGTTCCTTGTGCGTCTTGGAGGACATCGATCAAAAAGACATGGAACTCCAATTCCCCCCCCCCTTCGGGAGCACCGAAAACCGCCTCCTGGACCCTTCTTGGAGCGCTCTTGGGGCGCTCTTGGGCGCCCCGGAGGCCGTCTTGGGGCTCTCTTGGGCCTCTCCTGGGGCTCTCTCTGAAGCCATCTTAAGGCCTCGGGTGGCCATCGGAAGCGAAGGGCGAGAAAGCAAACATCATTGATTTCCCTTCGGTGTGTTAAAGGGGGTTGGCTTCTCCGGGGCCTCCCTGGACGTCTCGGACGCCTCTTGCAGCCGTTTTGGCAAGTTCTTGGGGCATCTTGGAGCATTTTGGGAGCCATCTTGAGGCATCGTGCGCTATCTTGAGCCATCTTGGAGCTCATCTTGGTCTGTCAGGGGCCCTCTTGGAGCCGTCTTGGGCCACCTTGGACGCTCCAGCGCCTCGCGCCCCCCCCCTTCAGATCCAGGGGTGGGGGGAGGGGTACGGGTCATGACACCCTCGTAGATAGCAAGCCGTCTAGTTCACTCCCACCCGGCCTCCCAACACATAAGTAACCCCGACCCTCTGAATGTTCAACGGTCGTCTTTGGATAGGCAGCTACTGGGAGTCAAAACCGAGCCCATGCGCGCGACGCTGGGGCGAGGTGCGCCACGAGTGCCAAGCACGCCTGGTGCGCCAGATGCGCCACGTGCACCCGCGTGCGCCAGGTATGCCGCATACTCCAGCCGCGCCGGGTGCGCCATGCTCGGGTCACGTGCAGAGTGTCAGGTGCGTCTGCGCACGTGACACCACACATCGGGAAACATGTCGGCCCCCACCATTTGTGTCGAAGACCAGTGCCCACTGGTGGGCTTGCGCGCAGCAGGGCCATACACCACCAATTGACAGTGCGCGGGGTGGCTGCGCATGATCCAGATTTAGCCGTGGGGTGCATTGTGTATTTGTCAAAGAATGTAGCCCTGCGCGCAGCAGGCAATATGTTGACACCCCCGCCGCCCCCGTCACAAAAAATACCCTGGCGACGTACCCAACCCTTGCGCAATGCGGGGCATAAGTACATCATGATTGCTACAACGGGCCGATGACGTAACATGGACGCATGTGATTTTGCGATCAGCCATCGGAAGGCTCGCATGCCCCCGGTCAAGATAGAAGGGTAACATAATGACAAATCACCCCCGTTGGCTGTGCCATGCGCCCGCTGCACCCAACGAATCCCAAAGCAGTTCTTGAGAGTCCCCGCGGGATACGTGCAGGCGCAACGTTATAGCCATCGCCCGGCAGATGGTCTGTTTCACAAATCACCCCCGTTGGCTGTGCCATGCGCCCGTTGCGCCTAACGTATCCCGCAGCAGCTCTCCAGAGCCCCCCAGGGACGGCGAAGTCTGGCTCAGATCCCCGCGGTGCCTCATTCCGCTGGACCCACCAGCAGCCCTCGAATGTGGCGACAGCGTCGCAGATCGCAGCCCCTCCGGGGACGGCGAGGTCTCGCTTAGGTCAACATGGCGCCTCACTCCGCAGGACCCACCAGCAGCCTTCGAAAGTGGCGCCGCGTCGCATATCGCAGCCCCCCCCCACCCCACCCCCGGGACGGCGAGATCTCGCTCAGGTCCCCGCGGTTTTTCTGTCCGTTGGACCCACCAGCAGCCTTCGAAAGTGGCGACAGTGTCGCAGATCGCAGCCCCCCCCAAGGACGGCGAGGTTTCGCTCAGGTCCCCGCGGTGCCTCACTCCGCAGGACCCACCAGCAGTCCTCGAAAGTGGCGACAGTGTCGCAGATCGTTGCACCCCCCAGGGACGGCGAGGTTTCGCTCAGGTCCCCGCGGTGCCTCATTCCGCTGGACCCACCAGCAGCCTTCGAAAGTGGCGACAGCGTCGCAGATCGCAGCCCCCCCCCGGGACGGCGAGGAGGTTTCGCTCAGGTCCCCGCGGTGCCTCCCTCCGCAGGACCCACCAGCAGCCCTCGAGAGTGGCGACCGCGTCGCAGATCGCAGCACACACACCCAGGGACGGCGAGGTTTCGCTCAGGTCCCTGCGGTTTTTCTGTCCGTTGGACCCACAAGCAGAATTCGAAAGTGGCGACAGCGTCGCTGATCGCAGCCCCCCCAAGGACGGTGAGGTCTCGCTCAGGTCCCCACGGCGCCTCACCCCGCTTGATTCACCAGCAGCTTTCGAAAGTGGCGACAGCGTCGCAGATCGCAGCCCCCCCCGGGACGGCGAGATCTCGCTCAGGTCCCCACGGTGCCTCGCTCCGTTGGACCCACCAGCAGCCTTCGAAAGTGGCGACAGCGTCGCAGATCGCAGCCCCACAGGGACGGCGAGGTCTCGCTCAGGTCCCCACGGCGCTTCACTCCGCAGGACCCACCAGCAGCCTTCGAAAGTGGCGACACCGTCGCAAATCGCAGCCCCCCAGGGACGGCGAGGTTTCGCCCAGGTCCCCGCGGTGCCTCACTCCGCAGGACCCACCAGCAGCCCTCGAAAGTGGCGACAGCGTCGCAGATAGCAACCCCCCTGGGACGGCGAGGTCTCGCTCAGGTCCCCGCGGTGCTTCACTCCGCAGGACCCACCAGCAGCCTTCGAAAGTGGCGACAGTGTCGCAGATCGCAGCCCCCCCAGGGACGGCGAGGTCTCGTTCAGGTTCCCGCGATGCTTCACCCCGCTGGACCCATCAACACCCCTCGAAGGTGGCGCCAGTGTCGCAGATCGCAGTCCCCCCGGGGACGGCGAGGTATCGCTCAGGTCCCCGCGGTGCCTCATTCCGCTGGACCCACCAGCAGCTTTCGACAGCGGCGACAGCGTCGCAGATCGCAGCCCCCCAGGGACGGCGAGGTCTCGCTCCGGTCCCCGCGGCGCTTCAATCCGCAGGACCCACCAGCAGCCTTCGACAGCGGCGACAGCGTCGCAGATCGCAGCCCCCCAGGGACGGCGAGGTTTCGCTCAGGTCCCCGCGGTTTTTCTGTCCGCTGGACCCACCAGCAGCCTTCGGAAGTGGCGCCCGCGTCGCCCATCGCAGCCCCCCAGGGACGGCGAGGTCTCGCTCGGGTCCCCGCGGCGCCTCACTCCGCAGGACCCACCAGCAGAATTCGAAAGTGGCGACAGCGTCGCAGATCGCAGCCCCCCAGGGACGGCGAGGTCTCGCTCAGGTCCCCGCCGAGTGCCCCTCCGCCCGTTTTTTTCGCGAGTTTTCGAACGGCGCCACGTGGAAGGCGGAAGTCCATGCTCAACGCCTGCCCCCTTTCTCCTCGTTTTTCTTCTCTTCCCCCTCCTCCTCCTCCTCCTCCTCCTCCTCCTCCTCCTCCTCCTCCTCCTCCTCCTCCTCCTCCTCCTCCTCCTCCTCCTCCTCCTTTCCCTTCCGTAGCCATGTTGGCTCAAGATGCTAGACTCCCGCGTGAATCAAGTGGATACCGCTAATCCGCGGCCAGTTCTGGTCGTGTTGCAGCAACCTCAGGGACGAGCTGCCGCCCATCACCGGTTCCTTGGTACGGCAGTCCCTGCAGCATTGGACGCGGGCGCAACGCTTACACATTTTGTGCCACCTGCGGTGGTTGGGCATATGATTGGAAGCTCGAGAAACCGGACGTCTGGTGCAACAAATGTCAAGCAGTCTCCCCAGGCTGGCATGCACGCGGTGGCGGTCGCAGTGAATGCAAGAGAGGCTAGTCTTCCTTGCACAAGCCGAAAGCGCACGGCCCGCTGGAGGACTTCAGCGAGATGTTGGCCAAAGTCGATGCCCTTTTCCGAACACACCGCCCCGCAGCTCGACCTGGGGCCCCTCAGCGTGGTGTATTTTCAGGTTCAGGCGGCAGTGGCGTAGGCTCCGAAGAAGGAACCCTCCAAGGATGTGGAGCTGCGCCAGGCCACAGAAGCTCAACAACTGCCAGCAGGAGGTCGAGAACACGGCGAGCCAAGAGCGAGCAGGCGATTCAAGATACTGCCGATTCCACGATGGAGCACAAGAGAGCGCTGGCGACATACCAGGCAGAGACAGCGCGCCAACCCCCAGCGCGGCAGGCGGAGTGGCAGGCACCCGTCGTTGGCGACCTTTTCGACGACATCGACGAGTATGACGAAGAGGACAGAACGAAGCTCACGAAGTTCAAACACGACTTGGAGGCGTTCGGCAAGCTGCTCCAGATGGCGGCGGCGCAGTACCGACAGTTCAACCAGTGCAAGCAGCAGGCTGACACCTTGCGCACGCATGCCGAGAGGAAGCGCAAGGCGGCGGAAGGCAACGAGGCGGACCCGACACCAGCGGGGCACCACTCACAGAGGCGCAGATTCGCGAGCGGAAGGAAGTGGCTGAGAATATCAAAAAGCAGGCTGAGCAGAATGCGCAGGCGGCCAAGGGTAGAGTTGCAGGCAAGGCTACGCCGCACAATAACGCTGTCCTCGGCAGCGAGGGGGCGGCCGATGCTGGTTATGAGCGTGACGTGTAGCATCCTTTTCGCCAACATCACCACGTGGGGAGTCAAAGCCCACGCGTGCGTCGCGGAGGCAGGGGGGGAGAAATATATGATCACGATGTGCGAGACGCATTTAGACGGCACGAAGCTCGAGGAGGCACGGGGCAAGGTTGCACGAGACGGGCGGAAGATGATGGGCGCGGCAGCAGCGGCCACGAAGCGCTCGGAGAAAGGTACCACGGGCGGCGATATCATACTGTCAAGGACGCGCTTGGCGCGCTTTGGGCATGATGTGCCGCGGAGAAGGATTGTGGACAATGGCGAGGTCGACCCGTTCAGGCGCATCGCGGCGCTCAGTGCCCACGCGCGCTCGGGCAACGCAGCGTTGATCGCGGCCTGCCTAGTGCCAGGCGAAGGTTTCACAGGGTCGAATGGCCGCGGGGCTCGATTCCTGTCAGGTTCATCAAATCGCTAACGGGCCCTTGGGTTGCCCCTGCGTGTTGGAACATACTTGCGGACCGCATGGAGGAGGTTGCGCTGTCAGGCAGGCTCGGTGGAGCGGCGATTAGACCAGACGTAAAGATCACCTGCGACAAGGGCAGAGACAGCCTCATAGACAGGGGAACCGCGAGGGTGGACTTCGCGACCAGGCGGACGTTAGTGGCCGATGGACGGGTACCATGGCGAAACCACTGCGGCCTGAGCTTGGAGATCAAGGGCACCGAACAGGAGCGGTGGCATAGACAGCTCGAGACCCCGAAAGCGCTCCCATACCACGCCAGACCACGGAAGGCGACGGACCCGAACACCAAGGCAAGCAGGAAAAAGCAGGCTGTTCGCCACGGGGTTGGGGCGCGATGGAGCAGAACCTACAGGAGGCGCACGAGGAGGCCACCGCGGTGCCCGAGGAGGAGACGCAGGCCCAGGACGAGAGGGGCGACGCGAATGCCTACATTATTGAGGACGGCATATGGGAGAAGGCAGGCACGACGAATCACAACATGGAGCCCGTGGAGGAGATGCTCGCCACAGGCGACAGGATGACCATCGGGAGCGAGCAGCACAAGAAGCACGAGAACCTGCTCGCGGAGAGGCACAGCGACTGGGTCGCCGAGGTGGAGGAGGCCATCTTGCAGGCCGAGAATATGACGAGCAGGAGGCGGCCCCATGTAAAGGCAGGGCGGCTGGTTTTGGCGTCAGATGGGCCCGTGCCAAACCCGCTCCAGGACGGACGCGCACGCGATATGGGCCAGCAATATTCTGGCGATTGAGACGATTAGATGTCAGCCGCTGGTGCCGAATGGCACAGACGACCAGCAACAGAGGAAGTGCATCCACTGGATTAGGAAGCAGTTGGAGGCGATCAACGACAAGCCCCACAAGGGGGCGTTCGGCAAGCACGCGGCCGCCAACAACATTGGACTGCACTTCGAGATGGCGGGTGACATCACAGAGTTGGACTTGGGTCAGTTCGGTCACCTGGTTGAGCAGACAGAGATGCAGCCAGCCACGGCACCATCCAGACCGACGGCATCGGCCAGGAAAAGCTCTGCGACTTGGGCGAAGAAGGCGCGGCAGAGCAAGGCGGGCGCGCCGCGCGGACGCGCCGGGCCCAAAGTGGCGCCCAAGTTCGAGGCGGATGCTGGACCAGACTTTGCCACGGCCGACCCGACGGTCACCATGAACGCGAAAGCTAAGGTGCGGGAGAACATATGGACGGACCCCATGGACGAGAGGAAGCATTGCATCCCGCAGTTAAAGACCACCAGGAGAAGGGCGGTGGCTGAGGATCGGGAACCGATCGACGTGGAGACGTCGAACAGGGCGCTTCGGGCCACCTCGGCGTCGAAGGCGAAGGGGCTGGGCCAGCTGGGCCCCGCCGACATTGACGGGCCCCCCTTGCGCGGCAAGCAAGAGCCGATGGATCGCATGGGGGGAAGCGAGAGACACTTTACATAGCCCAGGCAGATTCGGGCTACAAGATGCATGGTGGCGCCCAAGCCAGGACCTACTGGAGGAGATAGGGCACTGGGCATGCCCCAATTACCTGTCAAACCGCGGTCCAGGGCGCGCTGAGGACCGCGCGAGATGCGGAGTGCCGGGCGTTCTGACCAATGGGGCGCGGCTACCAAGGGGAGCCCGGCACTCCGAGCAGGATTATCACGGGCCAGATTGGATGAAATTGGTGTTGAGATAGGAGCATCAGCGATGACATTACGTTTGGACATTGAGAAGTTCCATGACACGTTCTCATTGGTCACCCTGATGGAGATCGCATGTACGGCGGGATTCCCAGCGGTGGCGGTTGGATTAGAGGTGGCCATGTTCCTCGGGCCGAGATATCTGCAGGAGAGGTCGGTCATCAGCGAAGCTATATGGCCCGCGCGATCATTGGCGGCGGGATCGGCTCGGGGAGGGGCCCTGGCGAAATTGTTCCTTCACCCAGCATTGGAGGCCGCCCGCAGACGATCACCGAGTGCGAGCCTGTGGGCGTTCGTGGACGACGCGGTGGCGAGATGCGAAGGCAGTGCGGAAGTAGCGAGCGACCAGCTGGCACATATTACCTCAGTACAAGGCGCCAGACTGAAACAGCAGGGGGCGACCATCTCGGACAAGACTACGGCGGTTGGACCGGACCCGAGGGCAGTCTTAAGGAGGTGGCCAGACGACTTCGACGGCAAGGTCTACCAGCTAAAGCCAGCGGAGCGGCCGTGGACATGGGATTGGACACGCCGGGCGGACGTAAAAGAGTTACCACGAAGAGCAAGCAGAGGCAAACCAGAGCACGGCGAAGGTATGCGAAGATACTCAAAGTTCGGAGAATCGCAGCACTCAAGATGAAGGCTAAGGGACTCTACGCCGCAGGCGCCCTCCCGCAGGCGATATTTGGGCAGCAGACGTTCGGCATGTCGAAGCATGAGATCACCTTGCTCGGGCCCCAGGCGGGGAAGGCGTCGGCAGGCGCGGCCGGTGGCAGATGCTTCACCATTACTTTGGGCATGGAGCTGGGACTGAGAGACCCAGGGATTGATTCACGGCAGGGAGTACTTCGCGAGTTGATAGGCACGTGGCAGAGATTCGCGCACTCACACGAGAGGGTCGAAAGAGCGCGGCCGAGTTCCACGACCAAATTACGCCGGAAAGGGAAAAGCTAGGTGGCGCGCGGCGCGAGGCCCCGAGGGAGCCCTGAAGGCGGTGCTAATGGATGCAGGATGGATACCTAACACGGTTACTAGGTGGCATCGACCTCGGCCAGATGGTGGGGTTGCGGGAGCTACCATCGAGCGAGGACGGAGTCCTCATCGAAACGGGATGCTTCCAGGAGCTACTGACTTCGAGGCAGACTTGAGGCGCGACCTGTGGACGACGGCGACCAGGCAGGAGTACGGCGACAACCTGGAGGAGGGCGGCGACCTGCGGCCCATCGCCAGGGAGCAGAGGAGGTTCGAGCGCAACGGGGTGCTCGGCCAGCTGGCGCTCCACGCGACCGCCCTCGCAGGTGGACAATGGCCGCGGTTCCGCTGCAGGGGAAAAGGATATGGCGTGCCAGAGTCTGTCCGAGATGCAAAACTTAGCCTGAGACGCTGAAACACAGGATCTGGAGCTGTTCTAGGAACGTTGAGCATGAAGATTACAGCAAAAAAGATTGTCTGATAGTTGCTGCACTTGCGCAAGCAGATGCAGAGCCAGCTCTGCGGCTCCGTGCCCCCCCACCCCACCCCACCCCACCCCCGCCACCACCACCGCCACCACCACCGCTTGCCTCGCGCGCCCCTCCTGGACGGGCGGCTGGAGGGGCGGGAGTTGAGGCTGGGCGGGAGGGGGAATGTCGAAGCTTCCCGAGGCAGGGGCGGGATTTAAAAGGTGCATGGCGACGGCTCGGGGGGTCGGTTGTGGGAGGGCGCCAGACGCAGACGCCGCGGTTCGTCGATCTGCGCCTGGGGCTGGCCCCAAAGCGCGTGGAAGGTGCCGGCGGCTGTTTCTAGACCCCCCCCGGTAGCCCGCCAGACCGCCCCACGCTCGGAGATGCAGGCTTTTTGCATGGCCCTCGAAGAGATTCCAGAGTCGTTCCTTTTCATTACTGACCGCTTGTCGATTGCCAGGAAGTGGCATCGTAAGATGGATTTCCCCAACCCCGCCGGCGCCAATGAAAATCTGTGGACCAGGGCCCGCACTGGTCGGAGAAGTAGGCCAGACACCGCCACTGTCGAAGCGCAGCGGGAAACCTCTCAAACAGTCGAGTCTCTTGAGCTGCTGGTGTCAGACTGGCAGATGGAGATGGCCGCAGGGAATGCGGCTGCTGATATCTGGGCTCGGGATGGGCGGAGTTGGCGTGGGGCGACGGGCTGGTTGGGGAGACCCTTCAGGCGGATTGGATCGATGCCATTGCCAGCCCGGTGCGGCGACGCGCCAGACGAGCGCTAGCTTAGCTGACTCGGCCAGCGCAGAATCCCGAGTGAGAGGCGAGAGAGCGACCGCGACCAAGCGGCCGCCTTGCAACATGTATTCCAGAGCTGTCAAGGAGTCGGCCCACCAGCTTGAGAAGTCTAGCTCGGGCTGGAGGTGCGCAGAGTGCGATCAGGCGGCGCCGGACCTCAAGTTCTTCCGCTTCGCGGCCGCGCCACGCGCGGGGAAGGCCACCCCAGAGGGAACCAGGCCGCTTGAAGCGCAGCAGGCCCCCCAGTCTTTTGTGGCGGGAGCGCTCGAGTTTCATGGGTCCCACGCGATGGCCCACGTCGACACACGGTTCATGCATGCTTGCAGCAAGCGCGGCCGCTTCGCGACAGTAGACGACAGGCGCGCGAAGGTTCGTCGTGGAGGCATGACCCCCAAAGGGGCTGAGAACCCCAGTAGAATTTGGAAGGGGTTCTATCCTAGGAGGGGGGAGCCACCGCGGGCAGTCGCGGAGGCCATGGCGGCGCGAGATGCGCGTCGTCGAGTGGCCCACCTGCGGAGTTGCCCAGCGCCCCCCCCCCCCGCCGCCCCCCCAGCTGGCTCGAAACTGCGGCGAGGCCCAGGGAGGCGAGCCCGAGCAGCAGCAGGCGCGACGAGAACGTCCGCCTGGAGCTCGGACCCCCCGAGCTCACGCGCCAGCTGCTGGAAGGGGGGAGGTGGCGGGGAGGGCAGTTTTGTCTTCTGGAGACTCCGACTAAAGCTCAGTCGGGCCACGGCTCCCAGGTGGCGGAAGCGGCGCATGCGCCGCCCTAGAGGGGCTGCTGGACAGTTGTTTTTTGTTCATAGCACTCCATAGCATTCCTCATCCCACCCCTCCTCCTCCTCGGGCACGACAGGGCACCTGCGTCGCCATCGCAATTGGATTTTTCTGCGGTGCCGACCGGTGCGCTACTGCAGGGTGTCGAAGGAAAACAGCGATCATCAAGAAACCCACCTATGTGCCCCCCATTAGCCCTAGCTTGTACCGCGACCGCCAGCATGCCCTACCTCGCGCACACTCCGAGGGGGAACGATGGGTTACTTCAACAGGGTACCAGAGCACAAATGTGACAATACATGCGACATCTCTCGGAACGACAGAAGTGAGCTGAGCGGGAAGGGGGGCGCGGAATTCAAATTGTAGAATAAGCAGCCCCTAAAGCAGTTTGGGGTCTCGGGCCTTCCGTCTCTCCCCCTCTCCCCCTTTTGAGCTCGCGTCGCCGTTCCCCCCCCCCCGGCTCGGGCGCCCCGCTGAGCCAGCGCGCGCCCCCCCCCCCCCCCCCCCCGGGGCGCGAAGGAGGGCCAGCAGCCGCCCCCCCCCGCGCTGACCCGAAAGGATTCGCGATGCAAGGTAGCGAGCCTACATTACGGGGCCACCTGGGGGCTGGGTCCTTGAGCTACTTACGCGGCACGCCCCTTGCCGGCCCGAGTGAGAAGGCAGGGCTGCAGCACAACGAGCCGCAAGGGATTTTCGCCGAAGCGCGCAGGTCACCTGAGAAGGTGCTCTGACGTTGTACCCCTTATGCGGATGTCCTTGTCCACACGCCCCCCCCCCCCCCGCGCCACCTCGCCCCCGCCTCCCCTCTTCGCCCCCCCCCCCCCCTCGACAGCCCCGCCGAAGCCCGGCCCCCTCCCCTGGGGCCACCACCCTGGAGACCCCGGCGGCGACGACGAAAACCCGCTCGCACTCGGTTTAAGTCGGACCTGTCCCTCTACAGGGGGAATATTCCAACATAATCAAAAAATAGTCGGGGGCGATGTTTGGAATATTATTTGACACGTTTCGATATGTTCTGAATACGTTTAATACTTCTGCCAAAAGCCCCTTGCAGGCGGACAGGCCCGATCTAGCACCCGGCGGGGCCTTCGGCGATCCCGGCGACGAAGCAACGCGAGCCCCCCGCGTTCCACTGCACGAACAAACCCGCGCCAGCCGGCCAGGATGAAGCCTCCCCCGGCGACGCCGATACGCATGCGCGCACGACGGTGATGACGAAAACCCATTTGGTCTCGGTAACTCCGCCCACCGCAGCGCACAGCGAACCTGCTGACTCGTTCCTGCCCCCAAGCCCCCTGCCTCCAGGACCCCTGGGGCCCAGGCGCTCGGGCCCCCTGCCATCTCTGCCATTCCCACTGGACGGACGGTGCTCTTGCGGCATATCGACCAGCTCATGATGCCCCCACAGGGGTCATTGGACTCGCTTTCAACTGGCCACCAGGCGAGGACACGCGGGGGCGAGACAAGGGGTCGCGGACTGGCCAGTCAAACCGAACGCCCAGCACCCCCGCAACGTGCCTCCGGCCACCAGGCACACGCACGCACGCACACACATACACGAACGCACGCGCACGCACGCACGAACGCACGCACGCACATACACGTTGTACAGTCGGCGGCGCAAAGGAGCCCCAGGTGCGGTCGGCAGCTGAAGTTGCCCATTGCGAACGAACTTCGTCGAACGCACCATGATGGTGGAATCCAGTCACGGCCGCGCAGACTGATGGTGAAGAAACGGAAGGCGCCG